TTTCACAAGATTCCAAACTTCATGAAACTTGAAAGCCTTCAAGTTTTCTTTTTGATACACTTTCAACGCTTTCTTTTTGATACGTTTCATGTTGGTATACAAATCGTTAAACAACATGACTTACTTGTTCATATTCCCCCATTTTCGAGTACACTTGATATTTTGAACGATATACTCCACGGTTCATTCCTTTGTGGAACCTATGTAAAACCCTAATCCAAAAACAGTCATGTTTTTTGTCTGTTAAAGTCGTCACATCTTCTAAAATATTGATCCATGATTATGCCAACACAAACCCTTCTAAGGATTCCCATCCTTTAGCAGTCACCTTCTATTTTCTTTTACTTGGTGCTCAAGTAGGTTGAGTTTCTTGAACGAATTCCGGTTCGGAATCATAAATGATTATTCGTGGTTGTGATTGTGTTTGTTGAACAAACTCAGGTCGAGACAAAAAGTCAAACAGATTAAAATCTGGGTCGGGTTGTGGTTGTGTTGGTCGGTGTGGTGGTGAGATTTGTTGTGGATTATACAGAAGCATACCACCATAGTGATAATACTGAGGTTATAAAATCGGTTGATCATACGAAGATCTTGGGGTTGTGCTTTTTCTAGTAGGTGTTTTCTCGTTGGTAGGATTTTTTAAAGAAGACATATTGAGAGGATTTGAGAAAAAGATGGTAAAATATAAAGATATGTAAATGAGATTTTGTAAAAAATGATATGTATATATAAGGTTATACGATTTTTGTATTAGAGATTTAATGAGATCCGGTTACGTGGGTTTTTGTGACATCAGGATCCAAAATGTGATTTTCACTAACTTATATGACAATTTATAAATAATTTATTGAGGGTTAGGTGGCAAATGTTGATTTGTTTAGACATAAACCCTTATTTCTAATGATATATATATATATATATATATATATATATATATATATATATATATATATATATATAAGAGAAAGAAAGTTTCATTTGAGAACTCATAGTTTTCCGAGAACCTGAGAACTAAAAGTCGAACGGTAGATCAATTATTTGGATGACTTAGATGATTAGTGGCATAATTATAATTATCACTTCTTTTAATGGCAGGGTATATTGGGAATTAAAAATATCATTTCAATTAATAATTAGTTTAGTTAGTATACGAAACCAACACATTATTTCTCTCTTTCTCTCTCTCTCTCTCTCTATATATATATATATATATATATATATATATATATATATATATATATATATATAACTCGTACATCCTTCTGCATCTCCATCATCAGTTCACTATAGTTCATCACCATCGCCGACCTCACCTCAGCATCCTCTGTCGATTGAAGATATGAACCGAGAAGTTTATCTCCATTCCATCGACAATGATAGAAGTCTCATAGGATCTCGACAATCATTTCTACGATCTCAAATTCAAATCAAAGTGGAAAACCAATATCTCAACGATCATCGTTGTCCTACAATCGATCATTGTAACACTTTCATCTACTCTACGATCTGCAAGCAGGAATTTGTCAGTCTTCAAAACCGATGTGGAAGGTACAAAAGTCAAATCAGACGGAGAAGAGTTGTAACCATGGCATGTCGAAAGCATGTCCAGGCTTTCCCCACTAACCTTCTATTTCATCCTCTTTCCCCAATATCCTTATGCTCCGAATGGACCAAACCAGACTACAGAGCCTAGTGGAGGCTGCTTCTGCTGCTTTCTCTTTGATCTGAAAACCTAAAGGGTTGCTTCGATTATCTTTTAATTCATATAGTTATATTATATTCTACTCGTGATATACTTTGTTGTAAAAGTTTCAGTTGATTGTTATGATTTCTCTCATATATCAATTTCAGATTTTTTGGTTTTTGAACAATGTTACTTTTCTGTTGTTTTTGTTAGAGTTCTCGATGCTTATACTCTTACCTAGAGATGTAGTTTCGTAATTCAAGTTCAATTTTGAATATTATCTTCACCTAAATATGGCACCTACGAATTTAAGATTGTTTCAGCTAGGTTGTAGAGCATCTTATCTGTAATATAAGCTTGCTGCTTCTCAAAGATGTGAGCATTTGCTTCTTGTCTTACAGTTATTTTCCTAAAATGTGTATACAACAGAAAGTGATTCTAGTCTTTCACAATTATGCTTATGGTATTTTAAATTGATTAATGTAGGTAAGATGAAGAAAGCTTCAAATTCACTTTTATATGTTTTTGGCTTTTGTTAACATTCACACATATTAGCAATTTGTATGCTTAGATAACAACATACATGTGACGTGTCACTTTTAGTAGGATATATCATATATGCCCTTTTTCCTAGTTTAAGATTTAGTATTTGAATTTGTAGTTGTGAACGCAACATAATAGAGTAGAAATGAAGAAACTTGCACATGTTTCTGTTCTCTTCTTCTGATAGTTGGTGAATGCATTTATTTGAACATTGTGTTCATTGTTTCTAAAAGGCTTACAAGATGATTGGATATTTTCTTACTAAAGGACTTGTGTAAGTTAATCAAAACTTTTTCTTTTTTCAATTATCACAAAAATTGAATTCACTTTCATTTTCTCTAATGAAAATCTACACAATTATAGAATGGAGTTTGGTTATGGATATTAAGACGGCCGTGAAAATGAATCATAATCTTGTTTCATAAGTTAAGATATAATTAACTTTATATAATATCTTATATCAAAATATTTATTTATTGAGCAATAAACTTTTAATACACACTTCAAAATAGAAATTTACTTCGTAGTCACAAGTACGTTGCTATTCTGGAGTAGGTATTGTTAAAAATAGCTCATAAGGTACTACTTACAAGATTAAGGTAAACAACTAAAACATGATGCAAGTTACGAACTTGAGAAATTATTTCATTAGTGACACTAATATAAACATCAAGAACCTGAAAGAAAAAAGTCAAATATGGTCAATACTGGTTAAAAATGGTTAAATAGAAATTCTTTATTTTTTCTTACATTATTATGTCCACCAATGTATGTGGTTGTTGTATGTACAACAATGTCTGGACCAAGGGAAAGAGCCTTTTGGTTAGGAGGTGCTGCAAATGTTACATCAATGTGATTTGTTGCAAAGACATAAAAACCACTCAAAGTAAGACATTAATGCATATTAAACTCAAACGTCCAATAGAGGGAAATATGTGGGTTTTACTTTGCATGGGCAATTATGTCCAATATGTGGTAAATTTGTCAATTTGACAGTATAGGGGCATATATGTCCAATAGAATCGGAGGGACAAATATGCCAATTTGACTGTGTAAGGGCAGATATGTCCAATAGGTGGAAAATATGACTAGTTTTGTTTATTGCCATGATATCCATAGTCAATAAAAATGACATGTTACGAAGACATAAAAACAACCCAAAGTAAGACATTAATGTATATTAGGCTCGAATGCCCACTATGGGGAAAAATGTGAATTTTAATATGCATGGGTAATTATGTACAATATGTGGTAAATTTGACAATTTTACTATGCAGGGGCATATATGTCCAATAGAACCGGAGGGGCAAATATGTCAATTTGACTGTGTAAGGGAAGATATGTCCAATAGGTGGAAAATATGACTAGTTTTGTTTATGGCAATGATATCCACAGTCAATAATGCTAACAAACTTTCAATGCTAGTTGAAAATAGAAATGTACTTGTTAGTCAGAATTACATTACTATTCACTAGTAGGTATCATTAAAAACAACGCATAAGGTAATACTTACAGGATTAACGGAAACACCTAAAACATGTTGCAATTTACGAACATGGGAAATTATTTCAATAATGCCACCCTAACAACCAGCAATAACCTGAAAAAAAAAAGTCAACTCTGGTCAATATTGTTTAAAAGTGTTCAAATATATTATTAGTAAAGATACATTTATGTTTAAGAAGACTAAATTTAATTTTTAGTTCATGTGATGCAAATTTGTAAAAAGTTTCTTTTTTTTAATATGAAGAAATAATACAGAGACAAAAAATGTAATTAAGATTTTTATAGTTAACTATGTTTTTTGGATCATAAGTGGCAAAATGGGAAGGTTCTTGGATCAGGTTGAGTAACATGTGAAACAAATCGAACCATTTATGTTTTTATAAGAGTAAATTACATTTGTAGTTCGCGTGTTTAAGTGTTCATTAGAATTAGATCAAAAAAGAACACTTCTTTTGGCAAATTTGGCTCTAATCAAAGGATTTTGTAACATGTTTGGTCATTAATCTATGTAAACATGACTACTTTCCCCTTTTAAGGTTTTTTTGTTAGCAAAATTTTATAACCACTAAGGAGAAAAGTAGTCTTTTTACATGGGACATGGACCACAAATGTTATGAAAAAAAGGTCAATTTTACTTCAAGGTAATTGTCACCATCTATTTTCTGAAGTTGCATTATAATATTATTTGATGAATATTTATCAATTTTGCACTACGCAATTTTGTAATTCCAAATTGTTTCAAAACTTACAAAACTTTGGTGTCCTATTTGATTTAGTTTTTCTATTACAACAAATAAAGCTTAGGGGGAGAATTTTTTTTAAAAAATATATATATAATCATATTTTCATTTCCAACCCAAAACAATAGATATTTTAACTTTGGATGATGTGTTAATAAAAAAAAATTAAGTGGACTTTTTAGGTGTAATATGATATTTCCATACAGCTATAATTAAGTTGTCTTATAAACCATATACTATTCCAGGTCTTAACAATCATTTATTTCCAATTTTGATTATAATATATGGACCCAGATCTTGATATGCTTAGACTTGAACAATCGTCCTTTTAAAAAACAAGTTTTATTCATGTGATGCAACTTGAAAGTATAACACACTCTAACTCCAAAACCATTAAATTTTGCCCAAAACAATTACTTCATCCGTCCCAAAATTATTGTGTACAGACAAAAAAAAAAAACACATAGATTGAAAAAACATTAATTACCAATAATTTTGTTATATGAATTGACAATTATATTTTTTGTTGCATTTAATTCCACCATTTTATTGCATTTAATGGAATGATAGATGAGAGGTATTTTGGTAAAACACATATTAAGTAGGCTATTATTTTGGGATAGACAAAAAAAGGAAACATAAACCATTAATTTAGTCCTAGTTAGTTTCTTGGCTTTAAAACTGCAAGCATCGGATTAAGCTTCTGTGTTGTGAACCCAAGCGTATTGACATCTTCTCCCACATCATCTTTAAGTCTCCACTCAAACTCTTGAACCATTCTCCCAATCCCCACACAAACAAGCAACATCGCCTGCCTGCATAGCCCCTGCGCACACTCTTTTCCCCGCTCCAAAAGCCATTGTTTTTTGGAGGTTGATTGGTTCATTCTCCGCAAGAAACCTCTCTGGACTCCACTCCTCAGGGTTTTCCCAGATTTCCCTCTCCATATTACACCCATATATATTCACCGCAAGCTGCAAAACATCATATGATTAATTACAGCATTCAAAATTAACAATACGTTGGAGTCTATCCTTTCAATCTCTCATCAAGAGCTCTTTTGGAGAGAAAATCTAGAATTCTGTATATCCTAATTAACAAGGTCATGTTCATGTAAACAAACCTCAGTCCCAGCAGGAACATGGTATCCTCCGAGCTCGGTGTTCTCGTGCACATATCTTAACGGGATTATCGCTGCTGGACTATGAACTCTCAATGTTTCGTGAAAAACAGCCGATAGATATGGCATCTTGCACAACTTCTCCTCGGTGATCTTTTCTGACCCACAAACACTTCGGATTTCGTTGTAGAGTCGTTGTTGCTTGTTTGGGTGTTTTGAGAGTTCATACATTGCCCATTCTGTGGTCACCATCGTGGTATCTGCTGTTTCAATGATCGGTTCCCAAAGTGACATCAGCAATTGTGTGTCCGTTAATGGTTGTGCCTCCGACAGCAAGTAATCGATGAAACTATCCAAATTCTTAAAATACAAACCACGTTAACATAATCATATGATATCCTATTTGTGAGTGCGTGAATTATATGAAGTAGCATACTATACCTCTCCAGACTCTATGCGTTTTCTATGTTCTTGAATCACGGCCTTCATCACAGCCTTTCTTCGGATGTACATTTGTTCGATTTTATCCTCGAATTTGGTGTTGGGTATCCACTTAAGATACGGGAAGAAGTCTCTCCAGTCAACTTCTGCGGCACCCATCATTGGATCCACAACCAAAATCTGAAACATCTCATCTCTTGTCATGGTGGTTCCAAGATCAGCCACGTAAATGCTTTCGATATCTCTCCCAAATGTCTGGAAACATTATATATGTTTATTATGTCATTCAAATTTTCTATTATAACTTAGCAAAAAACAAAAAAAAAAAAAAAAAAAAGTCACCTGTTTGAATGCTAGCGTGAAAAGTTCAGACTGAAAAATTTGGCGGAGGTTTATTGCTTCATGAGGAGAATTTGGAGCCAAGGCATGTAGTTTTCTCGATAGATTATCTGCCATGGCGTCTCTATGGGCACGATGTCTCTTTTGAGCAGCTGGGCCTAAAATACTGGTGAGTAAGTTGCGTTTGACAGTTTTGTGATAATCGTCATAATCACTCATGACAACCATGGCTTTATCGGCTGAGAGGATCTGTAATGCCTTTGAAAGCTTTCTGGTTGAGATGGAATCGTATCTGGTCACCATAGCCTGTGGCATCGTATTAAAGAAAGAACTAATGATTCTAACTTCGAATATAAACACATATTTAGTTCACAGTGATTCATGTAAATGATATATGTGTAGCACCTCTTTGGCAAGCTGATTCGAATTAACGACAACCATGGAGCTGGATCCAGTTTTAATGGAGTAAATAGGGCCATAAGTTTCTGCCCATTTTGTAAAAGTCTTGTAAGGTTTCTTCTCCTTCAACTCAAGCAAATTCCCCAACAATGGCACCCCGGGTACCGCTGAAATATTCATTTACACTATTCAACGTCTTTCACAGAGACTAAATTTGGCTTTTAAAAACACTGTTTTCTACAATGCATAATTTACATGAACTAGAAAGAGAGAGAGGGAGGGGTGGTGGAGGATTACCGGGAACAGAAGGGAGACGATTTGGATTATCAGGTTGCTGAGAGAGAAAACTTTTGAGAAACAGCAGAGAAATACCACCGGCAACAGCCGCCGCCGGACCACCAAATGCAAGTGCCGCGGATCCCACTGGCGCCACGGTCTTTAAATCCATTTTTGTTTTTATCCCAGAGATTCAAAGGAACAAGACAAGCGCTGGTGGTGCGGAAGTTGGTATTTTTGTAAATATATATATACAAGAAAGCGAAAGGAAAAAGATCCATAAAGGGGGTTGCTACTTGATCCTTTTAGCAAATTTTGTCGTCAAATGCCCAAGTATTTTCCAAGAGATTCCGGTTCAACCAAAAACAAATAAACAAATAAATAAATAAAACAACAACAAAACAAAATTAAACTTATTGTTAATTATATTGTTAAATGCCTATTCTAATATTTTTTTATGTCAACGGTCGAGTGTCATATTTATAAAGGTGTTGTATATTTTTTTTTTGGGATAATGGCTTAAAAGGGTAATATATTTTTCGATTTCTATACATTTCGGCACTGAGTTTTTTTCGTCCACATTTATCCCTTCAACTTGTTAAACTGTACAAATTCGGTCCTTATGACCGGTTACTCCAGGTTAACCGAGAAAAATGACTTAATTGAGTAATATATTTCTCATTTTGTACACATTTAGTCCTTAATATTTTTGTACACATTTAGTCTTTAATATTTTTTTGTTCAAAATAAGTCATTTTTTTGTTTTTATACTCATTTAGTACTTATGAATGATTTATTTAGTTTTTCTCACGACATCTTACGTGGAACAATCATTGATGAAGTGTGCAGGGCTGTTGATGTTTATGTGTAACGTCTCGTTTTAACAACCAAAAATGTTCATTTTTAAATAAGGCAAAAGTCCCTAATTATAAATCCATTATTAAGAAAAAAAACGTTTATTCCAAAATACATTTATCGAAAATCAGAGTAATATAAGAAACGCGGAATCTTCAATACTATTGATGAGTGTGTACAGTCATGCTTTCGCCTTCCCACGATCAACGATAGAACCTAAAAACATAAACAACTAGGTAAGCACAAAGTTTAGTGAGTTTCCTCAAAAATACTCGATACAACAAACGTATTATCATGCATAACGAGCCCACACTCATTAGATTGGAATACCTTTGCCCAATCAGTCATCAGACTGGAATGCTAACATGCAACAGGTCCAATCAGTCATCAGACTGGAATACCTAGGGTTTGTCGGCATGCCGCCTTAACCCAACCGCTCTTTTCGAGCCTCCGTGCCTACGACTTACAGTCGGCCCGCACCAGGTATTTTGCCCTATAGCATATAGCAGGACCACCTCAACCTATCCCAGGCCACCACCATATGAGTATCCCATTAAGATGTCGTGAGAAAAACCTAAAGAAATCATTCATAAGTACTGAATGAATACAAAAACAAAAATGACTTATTTTGCAACAAAAAAAAATGTTAAGGACTAAATGTATACAAAAATATTAAGGACTAAATGTGTACAAAGTGATAAATATATTACCCTATTAAGTCATTTTTTACTGGCTAACCTGGAATAGCCGGTCATAAGGACTAAATGTGTACAGTTTAACAAGTTGAAGGGGTAAATGTGGACGAAAAAAAGTCGGTAACAATGTGTACAAATCAAAAAATGCATTACCTTTTTAAGTCATTATCCCTTTTTTTCCTTTCACTTAATAAAACTGTGCTTTTCCAATTATACCTTTATATATATATATATATATATATATATATATATATATATATAAAAAGAAAGAGAAGAATATGAAATGGATTTAGTTAATCTCCTTCCTAATCGGCTTTTGAGAATCCCACTCTTTGATCGTTGGTCGGCGCTCCTTCTTCGCAGGTCACCGGTCGAGTTGTTTCTTCACCGCTCTCTGCTCGCTGGCCGCCGCTCGTACTTTGGCGGTCATAGTTAGTTTAGTTATTAGGGGTAAAGAAGATAGCATTTTACTGGTTTGATTATATTGTTGATTACAATTGTTTCATCTGTTTAATAAGTTTTTTGATTCATTTTTTTTAACGATATGTTGGTTATATCGCTGTCATTTGTCTGATTTTATTTGTTTCAATCGATTCAGAAGGTATTTGATTATATTGTTGTTTTATTCTGTTATGGGTTAATCATACCGTTGATTTCATGTGTTTCGATCTTTTTGTAAGTTGTTGATTGTATCGGTGATTTCATTTGATTACTAAATAATTTTTTTAAGTTTGCTAATTCCATTTATCATCTGAATGGAATGGATTCAAAGTTGTTGATTCCATTTATCATTTGATTGGAATGGAAAATGCCATAAAACTAACGGAAAACTGAAATAAAGTTCTTACATATTGGCATTATAATTGATTTACTCGTTATATCTTTTTTTTATTAAATTAAGTCCCAAAAACCGGTAATCGTATTCAATTTAACCATTTTACCCGGTCAACAGTTCATCCAACTTTCAAAAATTATATTTTTGGCCCAAATTTCAAATCTATTACAAATTTGGTCCAAAATTTACACTTTTGGCCCAGTTTTTAAATTTTATTGCAAATTTGGTCAAAATTTTAACCTTTTGGCCCAAAGTTTAGAATTTTGTTATGAATTCATCCTAACTTTTGTTTTTTTTTTTACAACTTTTTTTTTTTAAATTTTGTTTCGAATATGTTTTTTCTTTATAAAATCATATTTATACAAAAAAAACATATTTTCACATAAAAAATCATATATTTTCTATATATAATCGTTTTTTTTTTAAAAAACTTTTTGTATACGAAATACCAATTTATAAAAATAGATATTTATTAAGTACATAAATATATACAAATCCGTTTTTATAAAAAAAAATGTATGCATACATGTATTTTACAAAAAAAATGTATACAAACACCTATTTTCGTAGAAAACGTGTACATTTCTTTTGTAAAAACGTATTTATATGCACCAAAATAAGTGTTTATATATATTTCTTTTGTAAAAGCATATATATATATATATATATATAGATATAGATATATATATATATATATATATATATATATATTATAAACACACATTTTATAATAAATGCATTTGTATTCAAACACGTTTATATATAAATTTTTCAAACACTTTTTTATAAAACAAAGGTATACAAACACGATTTTATAAAAAAAATATAGATACACACCTATTTGTGTGCATATATATATATATATATATATATATATATATATATATATATATATATACACGTTTACTATGAAATGGGTGTTTGTTTACTCTTTTTATAAATATGTGTTTGTATACAAATGTATTTATAATAAAATAGGTGTTTGTACATATTTTTTTTTATAAAAATGGATTTGTATATATTTATATACTTAATAAATACCTATTTTTATAAATAAATATTCCATATACAAAAAAGTTTTTTTAAACAAAGTTTTTATATAAAAATATATAAGATTTTTTATGTGAAAATATGTTTTTTTTTTGCATACCTATGATTATATAAAGAAAAAACGTATTCGAAACAAAATTTTGAGAAAAAAGTTGTAAAAAAAGATAATGTTAGGATGAATTTGTAACAAAAATCTAAAATTTGGGCCAAAATGGTAAATTTCAGACCAAATTTGTAATAAAATTTAAAAATTTGGGACAAAAATGTACAATTTTGACCAAATTTGTAATAAATTTTGAAATCTGGGCCAAAAATGTAATTTTTTAAAGTTGAATAACATGTTGACCGGGTAAAATGGTTAAATTGAATACGATAACCGGTTTTTAGGACTTAATTGAATAAAAAAAAGATATAATAACTAAATCGATTATGAGACCAATATGTAAGGACTTTATTGCAGTTTTCCCTAAAACTAATAGGAAAAGATACTATTATAAGATTACTGATTCATTTAGAGAAAATAACAAAATGGTCCATGTGGTATGGTGTAATCGGCACATATAATCTAATTTCAAAAAAATAGAGAAACTCGATCCTTGTATTTTGTTAATATTATACAAATCGTCCTTAAGTCGTTAAACTAACTAGAGAGCTATTAAGTTCCTAATAAAATGACTTTTTTACCCACTTGTAACACTCCAAAAACACAATAAATTTAAAAATTTCAACACCAACCATGAATCAATATTGTTTAAAAAGCATTATTTCAAATCAGAGTTTTCCCAAGATCCGAAGACATAAAAACAGGAAGTTGTGTACGATCACGCCTTTGCCTTCCCATGATCCTCTGAAGTACCTGAAACGATAAAATAAAAACTATAAGTCAATGCTTAGTGAGTTCCCCCAAAGTACCAGCACACCACATATCAAACAAGCATAGAATATGAGCAGCCAACCTGACTGGACCTCCTCGCAGAGGCTACAACCTATCTGGACCGCTCTACGAGCCTTCAGCATGACTGGACCGCCTCGCAAGGTTTATAACCTATCCGGACAGCTCCACGGGCCTCCGACCTGACTGGACTGCCTCGCAGGGCCTACAACCTATCCGGTCGTCCTCGGGTATTTTGGCCAACAACACAAAGCAGGACCGCCTCAACCCAAATAAACAGAAACATAGAGTCAACAAATACATATAACCATACGGATCTACTGAACAACTACAAACTATCATATCACTATCCTGACTAGGATAAATAATCTAGTGGGCCGACATTGGTGCCTTCGACCTACGGGTACAATGAGGAAAAACTCACCTCTTAGACTGAATGTAAGCTGAATAAATCTCAGTCCCGAAAATCGACTCAACGATCACCTAACCAAAACCAAGGACCTAATCTCAATTACTCAACTCAAAATACCTGAAATACCCCTAGGTCAACTTGGTCAAAACTCTGGCCAAAGGTCAATGTCAACGAGTCAACTCGGTCCACTCAGCTGAGTACGCGGGGCGTACTTAGCTCCTATGATGGGCGTACTCTGGTTTTGAACGGAGTCGGGCGGTTGACCCCGTACGTGCGGAGTATGCTGGGTTACGCACGACGTACGCACATAATCCTTTTTTCCACAATAATATCTTAATGCATTAAGCTCCCACGTCCTAATTTCAGATCCAAGGCCAAAATACCACTTAGAGTTATAAAGCTTCCAACTTTATGACTTTGCATGCCCATTAAGTTCTTAATACAAGAAATTCCAACTTCTTAACACCTTAAGACCTTCTAGAGCATGCATGGGGAAAAAACTAAGCATCAAGACCACATTTTTATGACTCAATACCTCTCATTGGGTCTGAAAGGACGACTTATTCGATTAAGAGCATACCATGCTCAAGAATCATCATAGTTGGGACCAAAAATGCCCTAAATGGAGAAATGGCTAGATCTATAAGATAAAATGATCAAGCTAGGAGCTTTTAACCTTCTGGAGGTTG